TTTTAACATCATACATGTTAGGTCTCTCTCACCCATCAATAGGAGACAGGAAAATTACTCTCTATTTTAAACAAAAGCAGTCTGCCCCCTCTCCACAGGAAAGGTGTTAGAACCAGCTTGGGGTGGGGGGGAAACGGCACAGTTGATAACAGCCGCTTGGTTTTGGAAGATTAACTGTAAAAAGAGTGGACCTGATCCTGACAAGGATTACCAGGTCTGGTGGGTTTGTATGGAATTTAGCACAAGAACAGCACACATTTTGGCAGTATCAAAAAGGCACAAGTACTTTCTGTGAGATTTCTGTGGAAACAGAATCATAGAATCGTAGAATAGTTAGGGTTGGAAAGGACCTTAAGATCATCAAGTTCCAACCCCCTGCCATGGGCAGGGACACCTCACACTAAAACATGTTGCATGTAACATGACATTTCACTTGGTTCAGTTCCCAGAGCTCACTAGATGTACCCAGCTTCTAAAGCCAGCTGTACTTCTTCCCAGTCGTTACACTGCTGTGTTCGGGTGAGACCTGTAGCAGTGGCTGGAAAGGGATGCTGATGCCAACAGCTCTCAACAAGAGCAGAGCAGGCATTAGGACTGCCACGTGAGCAAGTGGGCATGAAACAATCACCCTAGGATGAAGGAGTGGCAGGAAAACCCTACCGGACCTGCAAGCACTGGGCTCTGCTTCAGAACCAGGAGAAGCTGTGTATGGACAGGGTTATTGGTGGGTGCACTAAGGGGCTCTCGATGGTCACAAGCATCAGTCGCGCCAAAGGGTTGTGTTATGTATTTCCAGGGTTAGAACTAGCAGTGGAGCTGGGAAAGGAGGGAGGGCAAGGTTTTTAAAATGAAACAACAGAGGTACACATTAAGGTAAGAGTGTTTGAAGATGAAAACTGGTAATGAGGGAAAGGAAACCATGGGTACCATTGAAATTAAAGATAAGCCACAAGAAAAATCTATGTTCTCTAGGAAAAACCTAAAAGAACTTATTTTTTTTCAGCCTTTGGGGTAAACATGTGGATGGAGGCAGAAGGGATCTTTGGGATGTTTGGAATCTAATCTGCAGCCAGCTTCCAGAAGGCTGGAGCTGAGTGCAAGCCCACTTTGCATGTCAGTGCCATCAGCCTGCTTTTTGCAGGGGCCAGCAGCTGCTGCTGACTGCCTGTGGCTGCTGCAGACACAGCAGTGCTTCCCTCTACTTTTTGGCAGGTGTTCCCAGGTAAATATTCTTTCACACCAGAGGCTGTCTCCAGCTTTCCTGCCTTTTATTTTCCAATCTTCAATTTATTAGGTTTTTTTATCAAGCTGCTCTTCCTCACTCCCTCTTATTTGCCTGGCAGCTTTTCACCTTCTTTCCTTCCTTTCCCATTCCCATTACAGAGCTTGAATGACATTAATGAAAGAACAAGACTGACAAGGCTGACAAGAAAGAAGAAGACTGAGTATTACAGTGAGGGCCATGTTAATACTCACCTGACTCAAAATTGCAGTCTCTCTTTTCCTCCTTTACCTTTTCTCTTCCTCATTTTTACAGAATCTGTGGGAAGATTCACCTGATATTTGAAATTTTAAATTGGCTTTTCCCCTTTTGACTCTTAAGTGCTCCCTAATTATTTTCCATGACAGTTTTTTTTCCATTTTGTTCTCTTTCTGGTTCTTACTAAGGCAGTTATATTTTCATCTTCTTTTTACATGCAGATCTTTAGTTTTAATAATATTTGAGTACTTACATTAAAAACTCCACTCATTGAAATACTAAACTGAAAAAAACCCAACAAAACCAGCCTCTGTATATATGCCACCTTTTAAAAAGTGAGAGTAACACTGAATTTCTCAGTCACAAAAGTCAGAGATGTAACCTGGATACTTGAAAGTTTAATCTTTGCTGACTCAGGGTGGGAAGAAAGTAAATGATCACAGAATCAGAGTGGTGTGGGTTGGAAGGGACCTTCAAGATTGTCTAGTTCCAACCCCCTGCCACGGGCAGGGACACCTTCCACTAGACCGGGTTGCTCAAAGCCCCATTCAACCCAGCCTTGAACAGTTTCAGGAATGGGGCATCCACATCTTCTCTGGGCAACCTGTTCCAGTGTCTCACCACCCTCATCAGGATGAACTTCTTCCTAATGCCTAATCTAAATCTTCCCTCTTTTGGTTTAAAGCCATTACCCCTTGTCCTATCACTACCCTGGCCTTTTTAAAAGTCAAACATCGATTAAATTACTTCTGTAGTCCCTCCAAATGCTTACAAGTTAACATTACTTGCTTACTTGTATGTATTTTTTAAATACTAAACCAGATTAAATGATTTAGCCAGGTTCCAATAGAAAATCTGTGGAAGAACAAAGAGCAGAAGCCAAATCTTATGACTCTCAAAAACAACCTTTAATGGTTAAATGATCAATGGTTAAAAATCACATGTTAAAATGATCATGCTGCCCATTCCTGTCTTAGATAGTTGTCCTGGTTTTGTCTGGAATATATTAATTTTCTGCATAGCAGCTGGTATAGGACCATGTTTTGGATTTAGATGGAGAATAATGTTGGTGACACCCTGGTGTTTTAGTGTAAGCACTGCTCAGCAACAACTAAGTCAAGGACTTTCAGCTTCTCATGCTGCTGTACCAGCAAGGGAGCTGGTGATGCACAAGAAGTTGGGAATGTACTGAAACTAAGAAGTTTTCAGGCAAAATGACATTGTCAGTGGTCTCCTCCCTGGGGATCACCTAGTCCAACTGCCTGACCACTTCAGGGCTGACCAAAGGTTCAAACCCTGTTGTTAAGAGCATTGTCCAAATGCCTATTAAACACTGACAGGCTAGGGCATCAACCACCTCTCTAGGAATCCCGTTTCAGTGTTTGATCACCCTTTCAGTGAAGAAATGCTTCCTAATGTCCAGTCTAAATCTCCCCTTGGCATAGCTTTGAACTGTTTCCATGTGTCCTATCACTGAATCCAAGGGAGATCAGCACCTCCCTCTCCACTTTCTCAGGAATCTGTAGAGAGCAATGAGGTTGCCCCTCGGCCTCCTTTCCTCCAAACTAGACAAACCCAAAGTCCTCAGCTGCTCCTCACAGGACATGCCTTCCAGCCCTTTTGCCAGCTTTGTTACTCACCTATGGACACATTCAAGAACCTTCACATCCTTCTTAGACTGTGGGGCCCAGAACTGCCCAGTACTCAAGGTGAGGCCACACTAAATTTGGGAACTCAGGCATCCATGTCTCAAATACCATCTCCTCTCTTGGAACTCACAGGTGTTGCAAGGCCAGCCTCTCCTGCGACATGCCTTGTGGTACTCCTGATTTTGGCCTTGAGGAGGTGAGGGGAAGGTGCTGTGTCTTGCCAAACCACCCCTTTCTCAACATGGATCCAGGCCAGGCCCAGTACTAGCCTCCCACCACCTCTCCACCACACCACACTCAGAAAATACACGTTCTCCTGGACTTCACTGAAAAGGCACCGGATAAAGTGACATAATCTGAGGTAACACCATTGTGAAGGTACTTCCCTTATGCTAGCTGTTCTTGTGTCCAGAGACAGCAATGGACCTTCAGTTCAGAAGCTGACTGTAACAGAATTTTGACCTAGCGGTGGGGCACAGATGACAGTAACAGCTCTGGGTAAGGAGATGATTATGATGCCTTAACTCTAATCCTTTGATGTAAATTATGGTCAGCTTTGCATTTCACCTAGGTACAACGACATGAGTGAGGTATAAAAACCAAACATGGAGCAAACTCATGTCAAATTCCTAAGGGCATCCTTTTTCTATTTTTTTTAATTAAAATTGTATCAATCTGTATAAAATGGGCAGTTTGTTTTAATTAGGGTCTAATGCAACCATATAGAGAAAGCATTGTGCAGAACTGTATCCATTCCCCAGCACATGACCCTGAGCACATTCAAAACTGAGCAGCACTACTGAGAGGCTTAGTACACCTATGCCTGTGCAGCAAAATTTGAGATGAGTGTTGTACTTGGCTAGAAGAAAGAGATTACCTCATCACTAACATGTAGTGTACACAAGCAGACAAAAAGAATCATTTGAACTAGCTTTTCTTTACCATAATGCAGACCTGATGGGGCATACAGGTAGGCAAAGCTGCATGAGGTATAAAAGTACCGTCTCCCAGTATTCATACAAAACACAAACCATGATTATGATACTCTTTATTTATAAGATGCTGTCAGCATCTTTCACTGCAGTTACTTTTTGATCAACAATTCTCAACTAGAGACGTGAACATAAGAGTAGCCAAAACACTGTGTGCACTTAATTCAACAGCGTTATAGAACAGCAAATCCACTCCTTCAGAACATGATGAATCAATATGCTTTATGAACCAAAGAGAAACCTATGGGCTTCCATAAGACAAAATCTTCCACAGGAGCAAGTTTAAAAGTAGAACACGTCTTTTCAGATTGTTGCTGCTAAAGGTCCATTTCAGTAAATGAAAAGAAGTTCAGAAGCTAGTAAAGTATTTCTTCATGACAATTACAGCGAACATTCCCTGAGAATTAAGAATCAGCAACAACTATTGCCAGATCGTTTTTTCTGTTACAGTGCAGAAATGTTACAGCACATTCTGTCCATGCAAAGATCACATAGGAAGATCAAAGGCCACAGTTCTTATTTACTACGTGCATTTTCTGGATGCACTAATTTTTCAGGAGAATTACATCCGGATGCTGCAACCCTCAGTACTGAAACTAACCAGGATATGAGGGTAGAGGAGGCAGTTAAGAAAGGTTTAATTCATGTGTTGTGTATGTGTGCGTGTGTTCAGAATTCCATTCTTTTTCCCTTCCCCCTCCCCGTGCTAGGTATTCTAAATTTGCCCTTGCAACTGATAGGCTATGGTACCATTTTCCTCCCTCCCCCCAGAAACATGCATCTAAAATACATACCCAGCATCAAAATGTTCCACTCATTCAGACAGTACCTTGCAGTCTAAGCAGAAAAGGGAGGTAAACCACAAGAGTGGGGAAACTATTAAAGTTGGAATAATCAATTTTAATGCCTAAAATTAGATTTTATGGCCCACTGTATTGCTGAAAACTGTACAGAATAGAGCTTTATTGTTGCATCATTCCTCAGCAAACATAATTAAAGTGCAGTGAACATTTGGGATTTGGTGCAACACACTGTCACAAAAAAGAAAATACTGTTTGTTTTTAATTCAGCTTCAGAAGATGGCATTCTGCAGTCAGTTTGCACTGACCAAGAATATAAGAAGATCCTATCAGAATCCAAATTCTCACGTTGCAGAAGAGGGTTTCTTTCTGTCTTGTCCTATTACCAAATCAATACTTGTGTATTTCCCTGTGGCTACCTGCTAGTACCCTGGCTCTTTCACCAAGATAGCACAATCATTCTTTCCTTGCTACTTGCAGGGCTTAGTTCTGCTGAATTATTTTTCCTTTCTTCAAAGCATCCAGAAGATCTGGCAGTGTCTGCTATTGCTTGATAGATGAGTGCTGCAACCCAGAAGTGTACAGCATTCATTAACAGGAGACTATGAAAACCTAAGCAAAGATCTGTAAAGGCCCAACCTGCAAAGAGTCTTTTGATGGTAAAGACTGTTGGTAAGAGGTAAGAGCGGACAGGTTAAAAACAAACAAACAAACAAACAAACAAAAAACTAGCAGGAAGGAAAAGAAGAGAGATGCCTAGCATATACCCCTGAGAACTGCAGGAGTATCACAGCTGGATTGTGAAAGAGTATTCAAGGAGACTGGAGAAGCACAGAAACTGAATGTCTCTAATCACCTCAGAAAAACTCAAATGAAAATACCAGCACATGGGCTGAGGAGTCAAAGTAAGCATGCAAAGTACTCGATTTACCTATAATATGTTGGGCATATTCTTCTAAGTATAATAGCTTGGCCATACTGGATCTGCTATGCTTACATCATGCGGTTAATCTGTAGGTTCAGCTGGTCTGGACATCAGCTCTCAGTTTGGCCAGGCTGTCAGAGGTTCAGAAAAATTGAATACATGGCCTCTTCTGTCTCTTGGAGAAAAGTTTCTAAATGCAAGCAGAAGTCTAATAGAGGAGATGGTTGTCCTATCTCTAAATCTTGAGGATTGTGATCCAATTATTTTGTATGTATTTCATTTTTTTCCTAAGTGTTTTCTCTATCATCAGAGTATCTTTTCCCATCAACTGTTTTACTAAAGGACATCTAACGGAAAAAATGTATGAAAATAATCTTTACTATCTTTGTGAAGCGGCCATCACAAAGGTCAAACAAATCAGCTGGCTATAAACTATGACATTTACTCTTTATCAAAAGTATTCTTCATATTGCACAAGAAAATAATACAGTGTGAGTCACAGCAAAACATAAAAATATAAATGCATCTGAGCGATACAAATCTCAGTTGACATTACAGTACTTGACCATGAAAAGCCACTTTTTTCTTTTCCACAGCGCGATTCTCTCAAAATACACTACCAGTTTTAATCTGCATAAGGATCAAGAAGATTCAGGCCTCTGCTCCCATCATTAGCCAGACAGATCACAAAATTGTGTGATTTTACTTCAAAGACACCAGCTTGTGTCTGCTACAACCATTCTTTGGCCATTTGTTTTTGCTAGCTCCTGTGCAGTAACCCAAGCCCTGAAATCTCCACATGCTTAAGTGCACAACACTCCATTCAAGCAGAGTTTTACTTAAAAAGAGACACTAAGATTAGTGATACAGTTGACACTTCAGCACAAGTCTGGTTGTGGGTCAGGAAATAAACGTTCCTGGTGTGTTCTTCACTTTTTCTCTAGACAGAAACTGCCAGACACGATGGAGTATAGATCTTGACTAGTTCGTCCCAAGCGCAGTCTACAACCTACAAAGCAAAAGAATCCAAATGTATTTAGATCCTTCTATAAATGTCATTATTACAAAATACCCCAACAACAAAGCCACCAAATGAAAAACCAAAAACCAGAAGGAACTTAGAAGAAATATCAATGCTTATTGTGGAGTTAATGCTTGTTGGTACTCTGATATACAATGCTTCAAAATTACATAATAACACAGTTAGTTTGATTGTTTTTTTTTTTTTTTATAAAACTCTGTATTAACTTTACTGAGATCCATGAAAATTAGCAATCTCCTATTTTTTATACTCCCTATTAGGAAAGCTGGGAAATTTTGAGTTTCAACTGATTGTTCCAAACAAACTAAAGAACATAACTGAGAATGAAATGAAAGACACACTGAAGTCCAGACCTTGTGGTGCTTCTTCTCTTTACAAGGTCTCAGGACCCTTTTACCATGTTATATAAACACATACTTGTAGGTATGGAAAATTATTATAGACACATCCCTAATGGAGAGCTAAGGAATGGAAAACCAAAGAAGTTGACCAAAATGATGCAGGAAGCATCTGGAAGAATTAAGGCAGAACTTCAGTCTCACACTGATAGGCTATGAGATCACTGTGCTGTATTTTGCTGAGGAGATGTCTATTTGCTGAGCATTGAGAACTGGGGGTGGTGATGTTGCTTCAAGCACTTCCTAAACCCAACTAGTCTGATGAGAAGTGATGCTGCTTGTGCCAATGGCATCTTACAAACACAGTGACTGACTCCAACAGAACTGAAACTTTTCTGAATCGCAAGTGCCCAGCTCTATTCTAGATGCAGTCTTGAACCTAGAATTATAAAACCAGAAGCTTAATCTTATTCTGTAGGATTAAGAGATTTTAATAAATAACAAGATTCCACAGAAGATGACTACAGGGTGTTTTGGGTTTGAAAATTATTTGATAACGCACTTTAGAGTCTGTAACAAAGTGAAAGGGTTAACCACACTGACCATTACTCAAGTAGATGACCAATAATACATATGCACAAAATGTGAGACCTAAGGCAAAGGGAAGAAGAAAGAGGAAAGCTAAACAGAAAAAGCTGATGAGCCCCACAGATATATTCCAGTGAATCTGGCTGAATCCATCTTGCAATATCTTTACAACGTCTTTTCCAGCTGGGATCACAAAGGATACAGTATTGGATCCTCTGCACAGGCTTCTTTCTGCTACAGACTGCAATTCCTGTTCTCTTCTAGAGCCAGAATGAACATCTGCACACTAAAAATTTGGAAATCCAACTTCAATATTTTATTTCAGACTATAATTAGCCCATTTTGTGTTTACTATATAGCACTATTATTCATTTTTATTACTTCCTTAGCTGGTTCTACTTAGTTATTCAAAGTGCTTTCCATATACATCTAAATGGATCAAAAAAACCTCTTGATAATATGTCTGTGTATTTATATGACATAATAGAGCTTTGTGTAATGTAATGTTCTGCTGCACTGCAGTCCCCCAAATCGTACCAAAAAGAAAATTTGAGTTCTCCACTAAATGCTATGTAGAGAGGGGCAATCACAAAAACCAGAGGGGTTTTAATACTCTCCACAGCTTTAGATCAGTATCCGTATTTCTATAGGCAACACTTCCCACTTTCATAAAGGAACAAGAAACAGAGATAACATTTGAAAAAAATCCCATGGGAATTCCCACCTGTTATCAATGTAATTAGCATCCCTGAAGTAGCCTCTGAACAAATATAGTTACAGAACCATCTAATCTAGCAACACTAAAAATAAACAGGGGATATTAAAAGGGAGTTTGAAAAGGTTCAGTTGCGGTGATTTGCTCAACTCACTGACTTAATGGTAGCATATGAAAGATAAAAGATAGCCAGCAAACAAAAAGCCACAGCAAATAATAGTCTCTCAAGTTCTCCTGTGCAGCAGGAAGTCTATAATGGAATACTGGTATCAGGAACCTTAATGAAAACACACAGGCAAAGAACAGCAAATGGGTATGTATGGGAAACTGGGACACAACACCACGGAATGGCATTACAAAATGCAATAGCATTTCCATTTCTCCATAACAGTTTCTCCATAATACATCCAAGACTGTAAGAAAAAGGGAACAACCATTAACTCACAGCACTTGCAGCCAGTATTAACTGACGGACAGCTGCTACATGCCCCTTTGCAGTACCTCATCAATTATCATTGCCTCAAATACAGATGACTAAAATGACTCCTGGGATAAAGAGAAGTGTCTGTTCACACAACTACTGCATCAGTTTATGAAATGTCTTCCCTTTTCATTTTGCCCTTTTTTTTAATGACCTGTCTTACACAATAGTCATATGACCATTGTATGCCTTTCCCCAGAAGAGGGGAACGTAAGATACTGAATAGAAATGCTTTAAAAGTATTTAGCAATGTAAATTTCCATGTGACATATGAACACTTTAAATACATACTGTAAAGCACTTTAGCCCTTAAAAAAAATAAAAATAAATAAATGGTACTTAATTTAAATATTGCAATACCAGCAGGAATTCCATTGGGATGAGGGCTGATCCAGCACGCCACAGTAAATAAACAGTATTAAAAAAAAAAAGCTGCAGGTTCCTACAGTTTTTATTTTAATCAATGAGATGATGTTACAAACAAGCAGAGAAAATCCTCCTGTGGTAAGATGAAAGACAAAGGATAAGTGAAAACAGTCACCCATTATTTCCATACCTGATATAATTCCTTGCCATTAGGAATATGAAGGCACATAGATTTGTCTTTCTGTGAAAATGTCCATTGTCTTGGGGACAAATTTTACTCTCAGATTGTAAAAAATCTCACTGATTTCAATGTTTAGAGGGTGCATGATTTACTTTTTTAAGCTGTCACACAAACAGAGTGGAGGACAGTTTACTTCAATTGCAAAGAACTGTGTGAATTGTAACAGAATTATATTACTGAATATTTTGGACATCTGTATGCCATGCAATTATCACTATCATTTATGAATACTAAATTGCCCTTGTAACTATAAAATAGAATTCTCCTATAGCAACTTTTAACTATCAGAAATTGATAGATAACTAGAGCTTAACTGTAAAACAATAATATTCCACCTTACACTGACTGGTAAATTACATCAATAAACAATGCAAATAGAAAAATCATTCTAAACCTGATAATTTTAATTATAACTAAAGCTACGTGGGACAAAGGAAGTCTAACAAAATGACATTTACTACTTGCTTCTAATGCTTTTATTTCAGTAGCAAAACTGCAGTGCTAGTATATATGCTAGGGGTACTGCACTGTTATTACTGCAGAAAAAGCATCATGCCAAGTTATCTGCCAGTAGAGATTTAAGCAAGTCTATTTGAAGCACATAAAATGGGGATAGCTGTATTTCCCCCTAAGTAAAGCCAAAAAGCAAGGAAACAAATGAAAAACTGCAGTCATCACAGGAAGCTGATTGCTTGACTAGAAAATCATAGTTTAACCCAAATGAAACAGCTATCCTCTATTTTATTGAAGTGTTTATCCTTGTCCCAGAGTATAACAATGTTTCGCACCAACTGATTTAATATTGACATGCATTCATTTATCAAACCCATTTCCATTGACTCACTAGCTGATTTACTTCTTTGACAGGCCCTCTGTTCCCTATTCATCACAATCGTCTTGCTTTGCAATAGATTTAGACCTTTTCAAGCACCCGAGGGCAATCCATTCAGTCTAGTGCAATTACCTGCATGACATTCTGCTTCTTTACCATTCAGAAGCAGCAAGAAAAACAAGGGAAATCTCCCAAGTTAGTAGCTAACGTTTTTTTTTTCCAATATTTGGAGGTGTAATAAACCCCCAAGCTCTAACAAGGATTAAATACATTAAAAGAACAAGTAAAAACTTTATCTTCAGTAACCCCTTTAGGAAGGGGTTTCATCAGCAGAAAGTACAGCCCTCTCTAGATTAGTATTTCTGGAAGTATCTTGGTGCCACTCCAGAGTGCTCATAATAAATCATAGGATAATACATAAATGTGTCTGAGAGTGACCCAGCTCTCTTCTCAGCTTCTCTTCATCCCATCCCATTTTCAAATAAAACTAATAAGACCTGTCTTTTTTTCTGTAGAAGAGACAGCAGAAGAAGTATTCAGCTCCTTACTTCCATCAACACTGTGATTCCCTTCCTTTTTTACCTTATCTTCTATGTCTTTTCATACAGAATTTAATGGTCTATTTATATTATTATGACGTATTTTTGTGTGGTTCTGACCATCCTCTGTAAGTGTGTGGGATAGAGATAAAGCAAGCTATTAGGTTTGCTACTCATCAAATCACATTCGCAGGTGATCATTAAAACTAGTTGGTTAAGTGCATAAGGACTCATGCATGAGTTTAAATGCATTCAATACCTGTTTTGTACTAGGAAATCCAAACCACTAGTGTGGTCTTTGGTTTGGTCCACAGTTGCCAGGTTGAACTGCTCATGATGCCTAACTTTACATGAGAGTGGATGGAGTTGGTAAATTAAAACCTTTTTATTTCCCATGGGAAATAATACCATTTATAATTTACTTTAAAAAAAAATTACATTTTTTAATTATTGTTTCCAGTAATGGACAGAAATTCTTATAAAGATATAGGTTCAAACTACAGTTACCGGAAACTGATGTTCCAAACACTGCTTAAGAAATCCATTTCTTTCTTGAGGAGAGAAAAGATAGAAGATTTGAGGGGCACTGTTTTTCAGATTGCAAAGATATGTCACAAAGAACTGATCTGAAAACCATGGACCTGTCTCAACATTTGTGTCATTGCTCTGACATAGGCAACAGGAAGATGACTTGGTAGTTGTGCTGACGGATTTCTAAACACAAGTCTTCTGAGTGTACATTTCATCAATTACATGTGAAGCAAATTGAGATGTGATTGCAGGTTCGAGAGAAACCCTTGGAATCTCCATAGAATCTGTAGCAATTCCTCTGTACTCCATGGCTTAGGGGAAGGACATCTCCCCAGT